GGCTTCGCTCTCCATGCCCAGCCGGGCATCGTGCTGGAGGCGACAAGAGGGCGCTGAGTGCTGCCTGCTGCTGGGACCCGCCTGCCCTTCACCCACCCATCTTCCACAAGTCTGTCTGGGCTCCTGTGCCTTGTGGCCAAGGACTCCGAGGATTCACTGAGCTCATGGCCACGCCACCCGCCTGGCGTGGTCCAAGCCAGGCACGGCCCTCCCCTCTTCCCCCGCCCGCTCTGCCCAGCACCCTGCCCAATAACAATACAAGTGAAGCCAGAGCCTTCATTAAGATCTGCTAATGCAGAATCTCTCCACTTTATTTGTCTGCTCTGGATCTGTCTCCCTCCAAACAAACTAATTTTAAGCGAAGTTCTATAGTCCAGATTGTCTCCTGTTAACTTACTTTTGACCATGTGAGTTTTTTTTTTTTTTTAATCTTTCCCACCTGATATTAGGTGAAAAATATTTTGGTCTAGAACAGCTGAGGAGTCATTGTTTTGTGTTTGTTCTACAAGTCTAATAGTGGGTGCTACATTATTCTATTCCCCATCATATTTTCCTGGCATATTTAAGATCTTGTAATAATGTCATCAATCAGTTAATACCAACCCATCTTCACTCCAGCCTCAACAAGAAAAGGGAAGATATATTTGACTAAACTCCCTCTGAGACAATTAAGTTTCCACAGAAGCATCCTCATTTCCCATATAGCAACATACCTCAGCATATCCGCTTCCTCCCCCCCGCAATACAGCCAGCTTCCCCACTCTTCCCCCAGCCCAGGAGAGAGTCCTATCTCTCTCCCTTGCATCAGCAGTTGCAGCCCACACAGAAGTATTGTTTCAGGACCAAAGCAGACTATGAAGAGCTTCAAAAAGATCTCACCAAACTAAGTGATCAGGCAACAAAATGGCAAATGAAATTTAATGTTGATAAATGTAAAGTAATGCACATTGGAAAAAATAATCCCAGCTATACATACAGTATGATGGGGCCTAATTTAACTACAACTACTCAAGAAAGAGATCTTGGAGTCATTGTGCATGGTTTGCTGAAAACATCCACTCAGTGTGAAGCGGCAGTCAAAAAAGCAAATAGGATGTTAGGAATAATTAAAAAAGGGATAAAGAACATCTTATTGCCTCTCTATAAAAACATGATACGCCCACATCTTGAAAACTGCATACAGACGTGGCACCTCATTTCAAAAAAGATATATTGGCATTGAAAAAGGTTCAGAAAAGGGCAACAAAAATGAGGGGTTTGGAACAGGTCCCATCTGAAGAGAGATTAAAAAGACTTGGACTTTTCAGCTTAGTTAAGAAGAGACTAATGGGGTAGATATGATAGAGGTCTATAAAATCGTGGTATGGAAAAAGTGAATAAGGAAAAGTTATTTACTTATTCCCACAATATAAAAACTAGGGATCACCAAATGAAATTAATAGGCAGCAGGTTTAAAACAAACGCGCAAGTTTTTCTTCACTCAGCTCACAGTCAACCCTGTGGAACTCCTTGCCAGAAAATGTGGTGAAGATTAGGACTTTAACAGTGTTGAAAAAAGAGCTAGATAGATTCATGGAGGTTAGGTCCATCAATGGCTATTGCCAAGAAGGGTAGGAATGGTGGCCCTAGCCTCTGTTTCTCTGGAGGTGGGTGACAGAGAAGGGATCACATGGAGATTAGTTGTTTTGTTCCCTCTCTCTGGAGCATCTGGTGTGGGCCACTGTCGGCAGACAGGATACTGGGCTAGATGGACCTTTGGTCTGACCCAGTCCGGCCGTTCTTAGGTTCTTATGTTCTCCTGGCCCAGGATCTCTGCTCTCTAGGTACATCTACCCTGCACTGTTATTTCGGAATAAGCTATTCTGGAATAGTTACGTCTGCACTGCAGGGAAGCCTCCAAATGAGTCCGAGGCAGGCTCCCTAATTTGGAGGGGCTATCTTGATTTAGAGCCCCAGGATGAATAACATAGAATGGCCCCAGTGCAGGCTATTTCGAAATAGCAGCTGTGAAGCATCCACACACGCCTTATTTCGAAATAGCTATTTTGGAATGGGCGTTATTCTTCCTAGAATGATGTTTACAGAAGTTGGAATAAGCTGACTGGTATTTCGAAATTATTTCAAATAACGGATTTGCTGCGCAGATGCTTGCATAGTTACTTTGGAATAACACCCCCTGAGGTTTGCTCCCTTGGGTGTGAAGATGGCTGCTGTTCCCAGCACTAGGAATAGCAAGCCGGTGTGGTGGAGGAGGTAGGACCACAGCTGCAATCAAACTGTGGGTGGCTTAGCCTGCCTGGTCTGTCCAGCCAGTCACGGGAATTGTGCGTGCCAATTAGGTGCACACTTGGCACAGTTGTGCATCTAACCTGTCCGAAAATCTGGTCTCAGCATTCTAAAGTCTATTTCCATTCTCCCGGAGTTGCATTTTTTTTCTACCCGCTGCCTTTTCCCCTTGCGGGAGGAAACCCATCGTCAAATGAATTTGTCAAGGAAAAACATTTTGGCAGTGGTGGGTCCCCCGCCTGGAATCTGCTCCTTCCCCCACATCCTTCCCACTTTAAACCCCCCCCCCCCCCCACTCC